GGGTTGGGGAGGGGACATTGGGATTGGAGTGGGGACACCTGAGAATGGGATGGAGACATGGAGATTGGGGTGGGGACATCAGGACTGGGATGGGGACATTGAGACTGGGATAAGAACACCTGTGATTGATCTGGGGACATTGGGAATGGGGTGGGGACATCAGGATTGGGATGGGGATACTTGGGAATGGGATGGTGACACCCAGGAATGGGATGGGAACACCTGGGATTGAAAAGGGGACACCCGGGAATGGGATGGTGACACCCAGGAATTGGATGGGGACATTGGGATTGGGATGGGGACACTTGGGAATGGGATAGAGACCTGGGAAGGGGACACATAACCCCATAAAGTGGTAGAGACCCCCGAGAATGGGATGGAGAATCCTGGGAATGGGATGGAGACACCTGGAGTTGGGATGGAGACACCCAGGAATGGGATGGGGACACCCAGGGATGGGATGGGGACACCCAGGAATGGGATGGGGACACCCAGGGATGGGATGGCGACACTGGGGATTGGAATGGGGACACCTGGGGACACCTGGATTTGGGATGGGGACACCTGGGACACCTTGGATTGGGATGGGGACACCTGGGGACACCTGGATTTGGGATGGGGACACCTGGGGACACCTGGATTTGGGATGGGGACACCTGGGGCCGTGACACAGTCAGTGGGATGGGGACGCAAACCCCAGGAAAGGAACGCAGACCCCGGGAAGGGGACAGAGCCCCCTGTGACAGTGACACAGACACCTGGGACAGCGCCCGAACCCCTTGGGACAATGTCCCCGGCCCCGGGCCACGGTGGCAGTGACGGTGACGCCGCGGTGTCCCCTGTCCCCAGCCCTGAACGAGCCCACCATCGACTACGGCTTCCAGCGGCTGCAGAAGGTGATCCCGCGGCACCCCGGGGACCCCGAGCGCCTGCCCAAGGTGGGGGACAGCGGCACCCCCGGGGGACAGCGGCACCCCCGGGGGACAGGAGGGACACCCCAGGGACACCGGGGTTCCCTGGCAGTGCCCCGGGGGCAAAGGGCAGGGAGGGGGTGACAGTTCTTGTGTCCCCCGGGTATGGCAGGGCTTGGGGCAGGGAGGGACAGAGGGGCCACGGGGACACAGGAATGGGGATACGAGGCAGGTCACTGGGGACACGGGGGGGGTCATTGGGGACACAGGATGGGGACACGGGGGGGACCATGGGGACACAGGATGGGGACACAGGGTGGGGACACACAGGGGTCACTGGGGACACAGAATGGGGACACAGGGGGGACCATGGGGACACAAAATGGGGATACAGGGGGGACCATGGGGACACAGGAATGGGGACACGAGGCAGGTCACTGGGGACATGGTGGGGTCATTGGGGACACGGGGGGGTCATTGGGGACATAGAATGGGGACACGGGGGGGGTCATTGGAGACACAGAGGGGACACGGGGGGGACCATGGGGACACAGAATGGGGACACGGGGGTGACCATGGTGGAGAATACAAGAGGGTCATTGGGGACACAGAATGGGGACACGGTGGGGACACAGAATGGGGACACAGGGGGGTCACTGGGGACACAGGATGGGGACATGGGGGGAACACAGGTGACACGGGGGGGACCATGGTGGAGAACACAAGGGGGTCACTGGGGACTCGGGGGTCACTGGGTGGGGACACGGGGTGGTCATTGGGGACACAGGATGGGGACACAGGGTGGGGACACACGGGGGTCACTGGGTGGGGACACGGGGTGGTCATTGGGGACACAGGGTGGGGACCATTGTGGGGGATCACACGGGGTCACTGGGGACACAGGGGGGACACAGAATGGGGACACAGAATGGGGACACGGGGGGGGGACACAGGGGAGACACAAGGGGGTCATTTGGGACACAGAATGGGGACACACGGGGGTCATTGGGGCTGGGCTGGGGGCGCAGCACCCCCCGACCCCCCTGTCCCCTGCCCTGTCCCCTCGCTGTCCCCAGGAGGTGCTGCTGAAGCGCGCGGCCGACCTGGTGGAGGCGCTTTATGGGGTCCCCCACAGCAACCAGGTGTGCGGGGACCCCTCTGGGACACCCCGAGACCCCCCTGGCACCTCCCCAGGACCCCCCAACCTGGGACAACCCCGGGGACTCCCCAAATGTCCTCTGGGACCCCTCCAGACCCTTCCAGGACCCCCATCGTGGGACACCTCCCTGGGACCCCCTTGGGGACACCCCTGGGACACCTGGAGGGTCCTGGTCCCCTCCCCAGCCGTGTCCTGGCCCGGGTGTGCCCCGGGAGGTGACACCAGCTGGGACAGTCCCTGGGAGGTGACACCAGCTGGGACAGCCCCAGCCACCCCTGGCCCATCCCATGGTCACCCCAGGCTCTGTGGGTGGTGGGGTGACACTGAGGGTGACACCGAGGGGTGGCACTACGGGGCACCACCGAGGGGTGACACTGTGGGGTGGCATCGAGGGGTGACACTGTGCCGGAAGGTGACTTTGTGGGGTGGCATCGAGGGGTGACACTGCGGGGCACCATCGAGGGGTGACAAAGAGAGGTGACACTTTAGGGTGACACTGTGGGGTGGCACTGCAAGGCACCGTCAAGGGGTGACAATGAGAGGTGACACTGAGCATCACTGAAAGGTGACATGCTGTGCGGGAGGGTGACAGGATGGGGTGACACCGAGGGGTGACACCGAGGGGTGACATGATGGGGTGACACCGAGGGGTGACACTGAGGGGTGACACTGAGGGGTGACATGATGGGGTGACACTGAGGGGTGACACTGAGGGGTGACATGATGGGGTGACACCGAGGGGTGACATCGAGGGGTGACATGATGGGGTGACACCGAGGGGTGACACCGAGGGGTGACACTGAGGGGTGACACTGTGCCGGAAGGTGACTTTGTGGGGTGACATCGAGGGGTGACAGGATGGGGTGACACTGAGGGGTGACACTGAGGGGTGACACCGAGGGGTGACATGATGGGGTGACACCGAGGGGTGACACTGAGGGGTGACACCGAGGGGTGACACTGTGCCGGAAGGTGGCTTTGTGGGGTGACACTGAGGGGTGACACTGCGGGGCACCATCGAGGGGTGGCAATGAGAGGTGACACTTTAGGGTGACGCCGTTCTTGACGGTGACACTGCGGGGTGACACCGAGGGGTGAACCGTGAGGTGACACTCCGAGGCGGCACCGCGGGGTGCCACCCAGAGGTGCCACCGAGCCGTGCCACCCTCCCTCGGTGACGCCACTGCCGTGTCCCCAGGACGTGCTGCTGAAGCGGGCGGCCGACGTGGCCGAGGCGCTCTACAGTGTCCCCAGGGCCCCCGCGCATGTCACTGTCCCCTCCTTCGGCGGGGGACAGCTCGGCCTCGCCATGGGCGACTCCCCGCAGGGCTCCGAACAAGGTGCGCGGTGGCCTCGGGGTGGCGGGAGGGCTTTTGTCACCTCCCGTGGAGGTGTCACCTGTCACTGTCCTCTCAGGGCTCTGACCAAGGTGCATGGTGGCCTCATGGTGGCGGGAGGGCTTTTGTCACCTCCTGGGCAGCTTCCACCATGTCACTGTCCCCGCAGGGCTCTGACCAAGGTGTTGGGTGGCCTTGGGGTGGCGGGAGGGCTTTTGTCACCTCCCGGGCAGGTGTCACCTGTCACTGTCCCCTCAGAGCTCTGACCAAGGTGCATGGTGGCCTCATGGTGGCGGGAGGGCTTTTGTCACCTCCTGGAGGTGTCACCTGTCACTGTCCTCTCAGGGCTCTGACCAAGGTGTTGGGTGGCCTCGGGGTGGTGGGAGGGCTTTTGTCACCTCCTGGGCAGCTTCCACCATGTCACTGTCCCCTCAGGGCTCTGACCAAGGTGTTCGGTGGCCTTGGGGTGGCGGGAGGTTTTTTGTCACCTCCCGGGCAGGTGCCACCTGTTGCTGTCCCCTCAGAGTTCTGACCAAGGTGTTCAGTGGCCTTGGGGTGGTGGGAGGGCTTTTGTCACCTCTCCTGGAGGTGTCACCTGTTGCTGTCCCCTCAGAGCTCTGACCAAGGTGATCGGTGGCCTTGGGGTGGACTCAGGGTGGCTGGGAGGGCTTTTGTCACCTCCCAGGCAGGTGCCACCAGCCACTGTCCCCTCAGGGCTCTGACCAAGGTGCGCGGTGGCCTCGGGGTGGCCTTGGGGTGGCTGGGAGGGCTTTTGTCCTCTCTCCAGGAAGAGCCACCATGTCACTGTCCTCTCAGGGCTCTGACCAAGGTGTTTGGTGGCCTCGGGGTGGCCTCAGGATGGCCGAGACAGCTTTTGTCCCCTCTCCAGGAAGAGCCACCATGTCACTGTCCTCTCAGGGCTCTGGCCAAGGTGCATGGTGGCCTCAGGGTGGCTTGGAGGACTTTTGTCACCTCCCGGGCAGGTGTCACCTGTCGTTGTCCCCTCAGGGCTTTGACCAAAGTGCGAGGTGACCTGGAGGTGGCCTCAGGGTGGCGGGAGGGCTTTTGTGACCTCTTTAGGAGGTGCCACCATGTCGCTGTCCCCTCAGGGCTGTGACCAAGGTGCGCGGTGGCCTCGGGGGTTGTGTCCCCTCTCCAGGAGGTGCCACCATGTCGCTGTCCCCGCAGGGTTCTCGCGCAGCCCCGGGACGCCCCCGGCGCGGGGGTTCGGCCCCCCGGGCTCGGCCCCCCAGCAGGGCTTTGCCGGGGCCACCGGCGGCTTCGGCGGGGCCACCATGGCCGGGCTGGGGGTCCCCGGGTCCCCTCCGAGCTTCCTGAACGGCTCCACCGCCACCTCCCCCTACGCCAGTGAGTGACACCTCTGGGGACACCCCTGGGGGGGGGACTCGGGTTTCTAGGGGGGTCCCCGAAGCCGTGGGACAGCACTGGGGGGGGGTCCTGGAGTCATGGCCCCTCCCAGGGGGTCCCCAAAGTCATTGTGGTGTCCCAGGGGGTCCCCAGAGTCATGGGCCAGCTCTGTGGGGTCCCCAAAGCCGTGTGACAACCCTGGAGTGTCCCCAAAGCCATCAGTGAGGGCAGGAGAGGGAGCGGGGACATGGCCAGCAGAGGTGGGACAGCCCTGTCCCTGTCCTTGTCCCCATCCCTGTCCCTGCCCATCATTGTCATTGTCCCTGTCCCTGCCTCTCTCCCTGTTCCTGTCCCTGTCTTTGTCCCCGGTCCCTGTCCCAGCCCTATCCTTGTCCCCTTCCTTGTCCTGCCCTTGTCCCTGTCCCCATCCGTGTCCTGGCTCTGTCCCTGTCCCCATCCCTGGGACCATCCTGGCCCTATCCTTGTCCTTGTCTCTCTCCCTGTCCCCATCCCCGTCCCTGTCCCCTTCCCTGGATCCATCCTGTCCCTGTCCTTGTCCCAGTCCCTGTCTCTGCCTGTCCCTGTGTCCCATCCCCGTCCCATCCCTGTCCCCATCCCTGTCCCCATCCCTGTCCTTGTCCTATCCCCATCCTTGTCTCTGTCCCCATCCCCATCCCTGTCCCATCCCTGTCCCTGTCCCTTCCTTGTCCCTGTCCCCATCCCTGTCCCCATCCCTGTCCCTGTCCCCATTCCTGTCCCATCCCTGTCCCTTCCTTGTCCCTGTCCCTGTCCCTATCCCTGTCCCCATCCCTGTCCTGTCCCCATCCCTGTCCCTGTCCTATCCCCATCCCTCTCCCATCCCTCTCCCATCCCTGTCCCTGTCCCCATCCCTCTCCCATCCCTCTCCCATCCCTGTCCCATGTCCCCATCCCTGTCCCCATCCTTGTCCCCATCCCTGTCCTGTCCCCATCCCTCTCCCATCCCTGTCCCCGTGCCACCTCCCGTCCCCTCGCGGTGTCCCCCGCTGCCACCCGAGCCGTGTGTGTCTGTCCCCTCAGTCCTGCCCGCCAGTCCCCCGCTGGGCGCCTCGTCCGTCACTGTCACCTCGGGCCCGGGCACGGCCACCTCTCCCGGTGGCTTCTCCTTCTCGCCGGTGACGATGATCTCGGCCGTGAAGCAGAAGAGCGCCTTCGCCCCCGTGCTGCGGCCACAGGGGTCCCCCCCGCCCGCCTGCGCCAGCGCCCTGCAAGGTCAGACTGTCCCCAAGGCCACCGAGGCCACCAAGCTCTCTGACACCCCGCCCCGGGTGGCCCGTGCCCCGTGGAGGGTCCCCGCTGTCACCACACTGCTGATGTCCCGTACCTGGCCGTGGTCGGCTCTGCCCTGTGCCAGCCTTGTCCCTCTCTGTCCCCAGTGTCCCCAGTGTCCCCGAGGTCCCTGACATCTGTCCCCAGCCCCATGAGGGTCCCCGGTGTCACCACACTGCTGATGTCCCGTACCTGGGCATTCAGGTCGGCCCTGTGCCACGCTGGGGCCTGTCCTCAGTGTCCCCAAGGTCCCCACAGTCCCCGAGGTCCCCACAGTCCCCGAGGTCCTCAATGTCCCCAACACACACCCCAGGTCTCCCTGCCCCACGGAGTGTCCCTGGTGTCACCATGCCCCCTTCCTGATGTCCCTGCCCGTGTGACACCCATGCCTGGGGTTGTCCCGTGCCACCCACGTTCCTGTCCCCAATGTCCCCAACACACACCCCAGGTCCCCCCTGCCCCACGGAGTGTCCCTGGTGTCACCATGCCCCCTTCCTGATGTCCCTGCCCATGTGATGCCCATACCTAGGGTTGTCCCATGCCACCTGCATCCCTGTCCCGCTGTGTCCCCAATGTCCCCAACACCCACCCCAGGTCCCCCTGCCCCACAGAGTGTCCCAGATGTCACCGTGCCCCCTTCCTGATGTCCCTGCCCGTGTGACGCCCATACCTAGGGTTGTCCCGTGCCACCCACGTTCCTGTCCCCAATGTCCCCAATGTCCCCAACACACACCCCAGGTCCCCCTGCCCCACGGAGTGTCCCTGGTGTCACCATGCCCCCTTCCTGATGTCCCTGCCCCTGCGACGCCCATGCCTGGGGTTGTCCCATGCCACCTGCATCCCTGTCCCGCTGTGTCCCCAATGTCCCCAACACCCACTCCAGGTCCCCCTGCCCCACGGAGTGTCCCTGGTGTCACTGTGCCCCCTTCTTGATGTCCCTGCCCGTGTGACACCCATACCTGAGATTGTCCCGTGCCACCCATGTTCCTGTCCCCAATGTCCCCAACACCCACCCCAGGTCCCCCCTGCCCCACGGAGTGTCCCTGGTGTCACCATGCCCCCTTCCTGATGTCCCTGCCCGTGCGACGCCCATGCCTGGGGTTGTCCCGTGCCACCCGCGTCCCTGTCCTGCTGTGTCCCCAGTGTCCCCAACGTCCCCTGGCTGACGCTGTCCCTGCCCTGCCCAGAGCCGGCTTTCGAGGACTCGGACAAATTCCACGCTCCGGCGCGGCCGCTCCAGGGATTGGCCTATTCCTAAGGACGGCTCCGGACCCCCATCCCGCCGGGACAAGGACTGGGGACATCCCTGTCCCCTGGGCCCTCCCCTCAGAGATGGGTGGGGCCACCAGGAGCAGCGGGACCAGGGGACCCGGCCCCACGATGTCCCCACCCCGGGTGGCCCCGGCCTGGCCCGGCTGAGGAAATCCTGGAAGGAGCCAAAATTCCCGGGTTTGGCCTCGGGAGGAGGTGGAGAGAGCCGGGAATGGGGGCAGAGGAGGGAGCGGGGTGGAGGTGCCGGGATGGGCGGGAGGGGTGGTCCAGGATGGGAAGGATGGAAGCTCTGGAAAGGGATGGATGCTCCAAGGTGGGATGGAAGCTCTGGAAAAGGATGGATGCTCCAAGGTGGGATGGATGATCCAAGATGG